GCAAAACACATTTCACAAGAAGCCAGAAATCATGCAAGTAAGGCCGTCTTCATAGCCTGACCCTAATCTTATCTACTGGAATGATAACCAAGGGTTATAGTTTAGGTTTATAAGCCTTTATATAGCATTTCAAAATCCAGGAGGGTTTTGTTTTTATCACTTAACTCCTCCATCTGCAGGTAGAAGCTATTGTTTTTAGCTAGTCTATTTATTGCTTTGCAGATTATGACATGGGCTACTTGAGGGATGCCCTTTTCTTTCAGTTCAGTTGGGCTATTTCTGGGGCATGATGCCCTGGAAGGTCACTCTGTGACTGTGTAACTGTCATATTCAGAACTTTTGGATAAAAGCCACTGCTCTCCTTTGGGCTGAGTTCCTTTGGCCAGAGATGGAGCAGCATGGGAAGATGTGCTGGTCTGTGTGGATTTACACATTTGCAGAGTTTTTACTGATCCCAAGCTATAGTTTAGAGCTAGACTTCTTCAGCCAAATACATGAAAGAGGAGAGCAAGCCAAAAATGCACATAATAGTTAGTGGTAGAGACCAGTAGGTAACATTTTTGAAACTATACATCCAGCTTTTGGGCTCCCAGAACAAACTTCTCTGTCAGCAAGGATTTTAAATCTGCTTTATGGAGACTGATTCTAAAATCAAAATGATTTACGCTCAAGGGAGTAAAGCTCTGTAAGGCTTTACTAAAAATCAAAGCAGATTGTCAAACAGTTCAGGAGCTACATAAGAACACTCCCTGTAACAACATACACTCCATACACACATTTTGTCAAATGTATGCATAGGTGATAACAGAACATTATTTGAAATAACTGGAAAAGGAGTTGAGTATTGTTAAGAATTTGTCTTGGGGAAGACATACCTGGCAACATTCTTGATTAGGTAGCCTTCCTCTGAAGAGGAGGACTTTCTTAAAGCTTAGCAACATTTTTAAAAGCACATATTTAAACTGGTAATATCATAGCAGCAAGCCGCTCAAGGAAATATTTTTATTTCTGTATTAAAACACAGATTCACCTGCTTAATCCCAGATTTGTATTGAGGAAGCATTAAGCTGCTGCAATTCAGGACTCTTCACAATGATGGACAAGTATCCCTTCACTAATTTGTGGGAATTTTTTGTTTACCATTTGATGCAAGCACTGAGATGAGCATTGCAGAAGTAGGTAGTATAGATAAAGAATATTTCTAGCTTTCATTTTTGTGTTTTTCATGGATGCAAATTCCATCTATCCCAAAAAACACAGGACTTTTTGACTTTAGATATGTGCAAGTCAGTATAAATAAAACCAAAGTTGTAGCTATTCATCTGAATACATAGTTTGTTCCTGTATTTTATATGTCATTTTGCATGCACCCATACTGTAATTGTGTAGAGAATGCTGAAGTGGCATTTGTCAAGAGAATTTATTTGTTAAGGGACAGATTTTCTAGTATTATTTAAATACCAAGAAATAGAAAAGGTCACCTACTGGGATTCCTCAAAATCTCTAAGCAAGAAATTGAAATCTGTGAGAATGAGGAGTGAGACCTTAGGAGGCTTTGTGGAACATTCCTAAAGGTGTCTGTCTGTCCTTGTACATTTGGACGTTCAAGACTTCAGTAGAGTTGCCCACCATATCGTTCTTCTGTCTGACCTAAAATACGAACCCAAATACTTTATTCTTCAATGAATTGTTTGATTGCTTCATGAGATGCAAATTCAGGGAGTGTCTGTGCTTACATCTCAGAAGATAGTGTCATATTGTGCTTTTAATTTACACTGTTAGGACAGTTTCCTTCACAAGCAAAAAGACAAGTGTCGTTGTTAAATCTGTGTCTTAGGATACAGTCAAATATAGTCAGTACTGCTTTCAGTTAAGTAAAATATGGTGAGATTATACTGGCAGATATATCATGATCACGCAAAGTTATTTAATAAAAGTTGCTTTCTTCAGGTCACTGTCTTCTCTATTTTGAATAAAACTCTGCAAACAGAGACTTTTATGGAAGTTCCCAGCACCTCCCATTCATCTCTTTAGATATTTAAGTTACCTTTGATCTTGAGATATAAAACTATTCCTTCAGTTTACCACAGATTAAAATGTTCAGCCTCTGAAAGGAGCTGCCTGCAGCATCCCACTGGGCTGGGTACAGAGCCTCATCAACAAGGGGCGATTCTGCCACCCTCATCCCTTGCAGGTAGTACCTCATTGACACAAACAGTCTTGTTAGCTGCCTTTTATTACTCACAAAGAAAAATGTTGCTTAGTGTGAGTCAGGATGGCAGAGTTGGGCCCTTGATGAACAAAGAGTCTGGGATTATCGTTCCGAAAAGCCCCCTGAGGCCTGTATCAAGAGTTATTAACCACTGATTCAGCCCATGGCATTATTTTGTAGGCTTAAGTGGGATTTCAGTAGTATATTGGGTCTTCTGTCTATGTAGGGGTGAATTTTGCCCTCTGTTATTTTATCTTATAAATAGCTGTTACAGTTTCTCTTTTACATTATTGTTTAAATCTCTTTCAAAGATATAGTTTCTTAATCCCCTGCTGCTTTTTTTTTTCTTTCTTCTAATAAAGAATAAATAAATTTGCAAATCCACACATGACTGAAACAAAAGGCAAATAAGCCCTGCACGGTTTGTATTTGGTGTGGGATACCTCATTTTGATGATTTCAGTCATCATTCATTTGAAAAGCAGAAGCTATGATTGTTAAGCCTCATTATTTTCAATGAAGCCTGACAGTTTCAAGGTTAAACAGAAGACAGCTACTTTCATCCCAGTGGTATTTCTCTTCAAACATGGGCAGCTCTTCGCTAACTTGTTCTGCTCTGGTGTGCAGTGTCATTGCTTGGTCACAGAGTGGTGCACATCTAAGCCCGATTGCAGGACAGTGTGTAAGCAGTGACCTCCAACCTATGTCTCCCCAAAAGAAACCTCAATTATTGAAGTCATTCTTCCCCCACTTGTATAAGCCACGGAGTAGTTCTTTTTAACTGACCAGTGATTTTAAATAAGCCGTGATCTCAGATTTTACTATTTTTCTGCTGTCTGCCAGAAAACAATTTGCAGCTCAAATCTTCTGTCTGTCCAGACAGTTTGAAATGTTTCTCCTGTGCTTTATGTCTCTGAAGCATATTAGAGAGGGTGCTAGCGTGAGAGAGAAAAATACCTCCAGTGATAGTTGAAGCATCTGAGAAAGCTACAGTGCTTCTGAACATACATGCGATTAAAAGTGAGGACTGATCTGCCATTGCTTTCTGAAATTGCACATGGACTAACATCGGATTTAACAGGGAAACTTCTCGATAAGAGAGGCTGAGGAAACTATGACTTATCAGTAACTGAGTTGAAACCCTTAGAACCCAGAAAACATTTATTTATCCACTGCAAGAAAATTTTCAGGAACAAATAACTTGTGAAAGCCCTGACTTTATACTTGCATGGACTGACTGTCCTGAGTTATGACTGTCTGGATGCTGCCTCTACAAAGACAAAGTGCAGTAGATGTGTGCTACAAAACCAGGAAAAAAATCACTAGTTAGTTAAAAAGGAAAAGCAGTACTTGGAAAACTTGGAGTAGCTAAGCAGTAGATTTTCACCTGTGCTTTCATTCCTTTAGAGTGAAGTACATTCCACGTACATTTGCTGGTGTCTGATAATTACATTAGGGTGGTGAATTCTTAATCTCGTATCAGGAATTAAGTCACCTGGTGAGTACAATGAAAGGTGTAGCTTCATGGTGCTTGGTGGTTCCTGGAAAACAAGAGTGTTTCAATACGTACTGGGTGCGTTAGTCATGACTTGTGGCAATAAATCCAAGACGTGTTAACTAGTTTTCATGCACTGAAGTTACTAATGCATCCATGAGATAAATGAATTTTGCAGGTTTGATAAAGCTGTTATTTTTATTTCCTATCTGTATTCCTCATGTTGGGTAATATATTAAAAACAAAAAAAAACCCACTAACACACACACACACAAAACCAAAAAACCCCTGTCTTTTCAGATAAGAAAAAATGGTCAACTTTGCAACCATAAATACAGCCATTTGAACCTGCAACTCTTTTATCCATTGTGGAAATTGTGTGTATAATATGCTAAGAGTGTTCTACTACACACACTGCTTTTATATAGTTAGTTTATTTGTGGGAGGGCTTTCATTGAAAGATCCCATAACATACAGATAAACTGAAGAAATAGCTTGAATGCATGATTACTGGGGTGCTGAAGGTAAATGTATGCAAATGGAAAACCCTGAAGAAATTTAGCCCTTTGCATTTGCCTACATACTTTAACAAAAAGAGAGAATAAATTAAGCCAGTGAAATGCTGGACATGCCTATAGCCTGTGCCTTAAAACTAAGAGGGGATTAGGTGACTCTCTGTTCTACTTATTTAAACTGTTAATTTTTCTGTAGTTGTGTCAACATAATAATCATACAAGCCACCTTCAAAATATCATCAACCACATCCTCAGAAACTTGGCTTGAGTATTCTGAAAAAGTTTTTGACATAAAACACATGGGGTTTTAAGCATAAATTTGTAAACTGGACAGTAAAATTATCTGTTGGGTAACAGGCAGGGTATTTTTTAAGGGGAAACAACAGCTAAGTGTTACATTTAACCAGAGCCATGGATCACTTGTATTTTAAAAAGTTCAAGAACTGAATGTCCTGCATGTCTGACATGTATATGTGCCACAGGATTGCTGCACAGGGTTTTGTGTTAAAGCCCTAGTATACTACATATACTACAAAAGAAAAGTGAGTTGATATATATCACTGACTGCGAATGGCTTGGGTTGTAGGTTAAAAAGTTTTCCGTAAGTTGTCTGCATTTTCCCTTAATGTCTGTCTTTTACAGTGGTGCTTTGTTTCTGAGCATGACCACCACCAGGACAGCTTGGTTCAGTGCAAACACTGTCTCTTTCAGCCAGAACATTCCTAACGTTAGCTTCCTTGTTTTTTTCTCTCCTCTCCCTCTCCCCTGCCCCCTCTCAGGTTGGAAAGGCTGGTGGATGTCCTGAGGAAGAAGGTTGGAGCGGGGACCATTAGGACCGTGATCTGATTGAAAGCTCTAGTCTAAGGAAGCATTCACATCTGGTGACCAGGCTGCTTCATTCAGCACTGTGTAAACACTAAAGCCTTAACTTAGCAAACAGTTGTTAGAAGTGGGACACTCCAGCGACATTCCAAGCTGAGATAAAATCAAATCATAAATGTTTAACTACTTTGCTGCTGAGTTCTGTGATTTGTTGAAATGTTTTACTGCAAACATATATTTGTTTTTAAGCAGATGCATTGTGGCACTGTGTACCTTGAAAAATTATGTAGATGCTCATTTTAACAGTCTGTCCTCTCAGTGTTTCTAGACTGCAAGACACAGCTTGATCATGTTTTCAATACTGCAGGCTTCAGGTGCAAAATCCTGCAAAGTGGTTTCAAAATTTAAATCCCTTCTATTATTTGTGAGACTGCAAACAGTCCAGTATTTGTATGTTAATTATATTAATTGATAAAGTAGGTTCACATTCAAGAAATATCTCTGGGTAATTTATGGGAGATTTTTTCCTCCTTATAGCCCTTTGAATTACAGCTGGTGACTGTGGCTACATCTAAGGGAAGGATACGTGTATAGCTTTATGTAACAGTTGAATAGCTACTGCTAGTACATGGCATTTTGAGCATATATTAAAAAGAAATGTACAGTTAGGTTTCACTGGAGGTACAGCTCCATAAATTGCAACATGAAAGCCTTGTGTACAGTATCTCAGACAGTGGGAAAGATTTTCTGTATTGTTTTTAGTCACTCCTCTGTCCTTTCCTATGAGGGAAAATCTCTCAAATATTCAGAAACCACCATACAGAGTCAAAATTCGCCTCTTCAGTGTAAAGTGGGTCCCTCATCCATTTCCTACAAGACTTTTTGCCTGCTTCTTCTAGAGCTCTGATTGCTCTAGAGTGCAGGAGTCCAGGTTGGGTTTGAGGCCAGACTGCCAGCCCTCTGCTTTGTGTACTCCTGAAGTGTCCTAGGACTGAACTCAAAGGGTGAAGGATAGACTCCTACAGGGAGAGGAGAAATTGAGGGGTGAGGAGGAAAATCTGGGATACACAGACATTATAGACCTTACAGATAGAGGAGAATTTAACCTATATTTTTATTTGTGACCCAAACATCTCCCTTTATTTGGTATGTCTGTCACATGACCAAAGGTGAGCATAAAGGTCAGGTCAGTGCTTGTAAACCTGCTCAAGAAGGCAGTTGTAATCACTAAGCAGCCCAAATTCATAATGAATCTGAGGAGCAATGTGGACTTTAAGCTATTCCCAGGACCAGCCCTCTCAGACAGAATGGATGTAGCTCCTAAGGCTTCCACTTGCCTACTCTGCTTTATATTTAATGTTGTTATGCTCTTCCCTCTTAATGTTTGCTTGTGCAGATGTCATGATATGGCAGTCTAGCTGAAGAAAACAACATTTTTATTATGGATAGGGGGAGACATTTCAATGCCTGGCTTTCCTTTCAAGCACTTCCATGTTAAACTTTCAATCACCTGCAGACCTAAGCTCCTAAGGTCCATCAACCAAACCTAGCCCCTTGCAGAGAGATGACTAACATTCCTCCAAGACAAATTTACCCAACTCATTTCTAGAAACTTCTGAAGTGCTTCTTTTTGATCTTTGGTTGATCCTAACCCAGCCAGTGAGTCTGGAGTCTCTCCCCCATGCCTATTCACTATGAAGAAAATGTAATGCTCCCAGACCGAAGGACCATCACCCCCCAGCTCCTAGCCCCTTCACTATCTCCCGTGAGGTGCTGTCCAGCACTTGGGCAGCTCAGTTGCTCTTTTTCCTACTGTCCTCATTGAGTTTTAAGGAGCTAAGTGAAAGACAAGATCTCCTGAGCTGCCAGTGCTGTTGAACCATTTCTGCTCTAGGAAGGTAGTGAAGAGGGAATAAAAATAAAAATTTAAGGACTACCATAATGTGCTAAACCAAAGTCCAGCTAGCCCAAAGACTGCCTTTGGCAATAACCAGTAGAAGATGCCTAGGAAAGAGTTTAAAGTCAGGTCAGCACCAGTAACCTTTCTGCAAAATGGTCTCCCAGCAATTTGTTATTTAGAGGCTTTCTGACACAGAGGTGGTATCTTTGTATTTAGCAGCATTTTTCATGACCTGTTTTTGAATCCATTTGAACTTTTAGTATCTACTTGTCTTGAGGACTTATGCAGTTAATGATGCACTGAGTGAAGAAATATTTCCTTTTCTTTGTTATTAACCAGCTCTATTCATTTGCTATCACCTCGCTTTTATATTATAGAAACAGTGAATAACCATTCCCTGCTCATATTGCTTCCATGTCCCTTGTGACTTTAGGTATCCTTCTCCCACCATCTCTTTTCCAGAGAGAACCCCTAGTCTCTTGTAAAGAAGTTGTCTCATGTTTTTATTTGGCCTTGTCATGCCAATCTATTTCTTTTCTAGTTCTGCAGTGTTTTTACTGAGATACAACCAGATTTGTGCCTGGTACTCAAGATGGAGACAAATTGTGACTTTAACAGTTGTCACAATGATGTTGTCTGGTTTTATTCTCTATGCTCTTTGTAATCATTTTTAGCATTGGATTTGCTTTATGACAGATGATTTATTGGAATTAATATTTCTGTAATAATAACAACTCTAGATCTCATTCCTGAGTTATAATGTTCAGCTCAGAGTTCATCATAGGGTGTATGAAGACAGAACTGTTATCTGAATGTGTAACTTTGCATTTATGGGTACTGAATATCATCTGTTGTTTTAGCATGCATTTCCTGGTGACTGTGAGCTCCTGTTCCATCTCTTCTCACAGCTCATCTTTACTACTCACAGTTACAGGGTATCATCAGCATCTCCATGCTGCATATGGTAATATGAAATACAACCATCTCCAAATTAAACCCCTTTTCAAGCTGATTTCTTAGTTAAATTGAACACTGTGGGCTGTGGACAAACATACCTGTAGGACAATAAGGTAACTTTCCTCCACTGTGAAAATGATACATTTATTCTTACCCATTGTTTGAATCTAACTTTGAACTACTTACTTTTCAGTGTAAAAGTCTTCCCTCTTACTCCTTGGCAGCTTTGATGAGGATGCTTGTTTGCTACTTTGGAAATACAAGTTTGCTAAATCAGGGCTTGTTTTCCATGCATGAATGTGTTAAGTTCCTCCTTCCCCTAGGAGTATCAAGAGCTTCTCACTTCCCTCAATTCTTTCTGCCTCTGATCTAATAATCTTGTGAGTGCAGGTTTCATACAAGACTGTTTGACCTCCAGCCTCTTGGGTCCTCTGGCTTTGTTTGGGAAAGTAGGATTGGCCAGGCAAAAGCCATCTAGCAGGTTTGATGTCAGATACATCTGGTTGTGGGTAATACTTGATTCAATAAAATTAGGTGATAATTTTGCTTCATAATTTTCCTTTTGACACACTGTACCTCAGGTGAAAAAGTATTTCCTGAGTCTGTCATGTCTTGCAGCAAGTAGCCTGAAAGTCAGTGGGCTTTTTAGTTAGGGAGTTTATAGGCCTGTAGATAAATTACTTTGAATCATAATTAAATTAGGTGTTGATTTTTCAAATTCAACTAGAAGTGTTTGTCTTCTTTGAAAAGGACCTTGGGAAATTTACTGCACTGAGAGGCGAAGATTCAGAAATGGTTGGGTTCTCACTCTTCCTTGCTAACAACCTGGTGTGTGGTCTTTGGCAAATCCTTTAGTGACAGTCATAAAAGGCATTCAGCCCCTGAAGAGGTGCCTAGGCTCCTTGGGAGAGTTTGCAAAAGCATCTGTGTGGCTAATGTCAAAACACTTTAGCTTCTTCACCAGCTGAAGTGAACAGCAAAAGTCACACAGGTCTGGTAATGCAGGCCCAGCCTTCAGTACCCTCGGGTGAATTTCTGGCCCCATTGAACCCAGTCTGAGTTTTGCTTTTCAGGGTAAGGAGGGCAGGAATTCTGGTCTGGCAAGTAAAAACAGGTGATAATGATAACACAGGTTAATTGACTTTTATCGTATGGTTTATTCATTGAGAACTGATTGATGACTGTTCAGAGTTCTGAAAGTGAAAAGAAGCCTGCCCCTATACAGCAAACAAATGCAATTGTCACTTCTGTTCTAATTTATGAGAGAAGGATGAGATTGCCTCAGATTACGTACCAGGAGTAGCAATTCATTTGCCTCCCGATGGAACAGCAGCTCATGATGAAAGGTGGCTCACCATAGGCAATGCTTATGGTGACAGTTGTAATTACGGGTCAAATTAGTGTCCCTGCTGTCTTGAGATACTCAGAAACGTCCTTCCCCTGTGAGATTTTGTGTATTTCTCTTGATGATCCTGCAGCATGTTATTCATTGGGAGCCATTTTGGTATGTGCCAGGGTAAAATATGTAAATACCGTCATGTTGGCTCGGGATAAGAGCGTTATTAATGCTTTTCGGCACTGTAATTATATTCATAGTAAGCCTTCCCTAAGCCCTCACTAATTAACAATATTGTGACAAATCAACTTTAACAGAAAAGAACTGTGAACCTTTAGTCATTTAGTACTGTTTTTCATTCAGCCCACAGCCCAAAATTGGTGGCATGGTTTTCTGTACTAGTGTTGGGAAAACCGCTGATATTTGAAAAGTTCTAAGCCACCTCAGTCTTGTCAGTGGAATCCTGTAGATTAAATCGGTTTGGTTCCTCTTTGAATATATTCACAGGAAAATAAGATTCATAAGTTAATCATTAATCTAGGGGAATATTAAAACTGCCATCATATTGAAATAGTCTAGTAATGTCAGTATGTTGTCATAGGTGCAATTATTTATTGCAAATTACAGGATGTTTTACAATATACCTTAATTTTCAGAGTAAATGGCTTTATAAATATTCTTATTGGGTGATCAAGAATTGTAACATCTTTAATCAACATACACAAATGAACTTGCTATCTAAATGTCACGATTTCTCTGTGCCTTTATTTTCTTAATTTGTAATCATTCCAGATGAAGGCTGTTAGTTTGTTTGTTTTGGGTTTTTTTTTAAATTTGTACCCCAGAAGATTTTCCTCCCATGCAAGAATAAACTGTGAGGCACATGAAATCGGTGACTGGCAGTTTCTCTGATACTGTGCTTGCTGTGATCGCAGCGTTACATGTACTGACTCTTATCGCTGTACCATTTCACATCAGGTCTGCAGAACTGGACTTTCTCTTGTTTGTTCTTCTCATGCATTGGTAAATAAAATGTATTCACAAGTCCAAAAAACCAAAGTGGTGTTCTCATATTAGGTTGATTATAAGTCAGCTGTTGAGCTTCAGTGGTCTAAACATTTCATTCTTCAGTTTTGTTGGGAGCACACGTGTTCTGTGAGGCTTTTAAACAAATACTTGAAATGGTTGAAAGATTTACATTGCCAGTGCCTAGCTAAATATGTAGTCTTTAGAAAAGACATGGTTTATTTTGGCACCATTTGAAAAACTCAACTATTTTAAACATTTGTTAAGTTCAAGCTTGCACATTTGAACTAAAAGTTTGCATTCCAAAATTGCATCTCGGGTTACCTGTCTCTCTCTCTTTTGTATTTTATAATCCCTTTATTAAAATAGTCCACAAAAGGAGTTGGGTTTGAAGTGTGTTTTTTTATTGTTAATTGTAAAATACTGCCATTAAGTTAATCAATTTTAAGGTAACATTTACCTGATAACTCTATTCAACTAAACATCAGAAATGCAAAGCCAGAAGTGTTTTCAGAATTTAGGGCTCCATGTTGGTAAGCAAGACTTGGCTGTAAAATTAATCAAATACAGCAATAGTGCCCAAATCCTGCAGTAGTTTACTTTTAGTCATATTATGTACTGTGATGTGTAAGTACTAACCCTGATGGTGAGTGCAGGGCTAGGCAATAAAGAAAACAGGTAGAAAATGTATATTGCACTGATAAATAGAATAGCTCAAGGAAAAGGAAAAACTGTCTTTGACCTGGAGTTGGTTTTCTTTTTCTTCCCTTAACAGAAGGGAGGGACACAGGCAACATTTAGTCTAATTTAAAAAAACAAACAAGCAAACTTTTATTTTCTCCTAAGTTTTAACCTGTAACCTCTACTGAAACTTAAAAAGTTGAGAATGTATAAATTGAAGCCACCGTATTTTATTTAAAACCTGTGAGAACTCCTGTTCAACAAGTCCTGGAGTGCACCATTACAATCATGCATGTGCTTTGGTGTGTTGCCCAGCCAGTGGCCAGCTGCAAAGGGTCACACTCCCTTCTGAGAAGCTGTCATCAAGGGGAGTTTGGCATGTTCTCTCCATGGTTGCCTTGGGCCAAAGGTCACGTGTCACATTCACAGAAGTTCATTGCTATTTGAATGGCTTTTGAACTTGGTAGAAGCAGATCCATTGTCATATGGTAAAGTAACAATATACCTGATAGAATTGGTCACAACTGCTTCCCAGTGGCTGTGCTAAAGCAAGGTTATGGTAACCCTTGCAGAATACGTTACATGAATTTGTGATGATTAATACCCACACATGAATATGCACACTGTATTTCACATAAAATTGAAAAATGTAATGGTTTCCTGAAGAATTTGAGGGATGGAAATGATGGAATATTTGTGCATGAAATAAGGATTAGCAGAACTAATTTCAGAACCAAACTTTAAAAAAAAAAAAAAAAAAGATACAAAACTGAAAAACTGCTTTGGTACTACTGTAATGCATTGTCTGAAACCTTAGGACTTTGTTCATTAGTATTTGACTTTCACTGATGTAGTGCCACTATTTCACAAATTTTATGATCAAAGAGGTAAACTTTTCAAAAATCAAAAAAGGAGGCTACTGGTGTCTAAGTTGATATAGATATCAGTTTAGCTATCTGTGAGTAAGAATCAGCTTTTTAAAATATTTAGCTTATTCAGAGAACATACTCAACTCAGATACAGCCTCTGTGAAAGTATACTAGACTAGAAATGGAACAACAAACAGTAGGAAGTCTCCATCAACACATGTTCATAGCCCTAGTATCACCCCATTGGGTGCTTTAACAGACTATACAAAATTATCAGCTTTATTTCTTTCACTTTATATAGGGAACATTCTCTCATCCCTAACATTCTACCAATGCATGGAGAACATCAATATTACAGATTATGATTACTAAACATTAGCTGTAGAGTTAAGCAAGAGAGGGAGGCATGTGAATAGATAAAGACTAGGAACGTGATCAGCTACAGCATTTGTTATATCTGTTTTAAAATGGCAGTGCAGGAAATTAAATGCTTCACACTATGACTGTGGTACAGCAGACCAGCTCTACTGCTCAACTATATTCTCACTGGTGAGGACATTACCCTCACAGACAGTCCAAAAAGATAGGGTCGCATAGGATCTGGGTGGTATAGGATATGGATATGGATATGGATATGGATATGGATATGGATATGGATATGGATATGGATATGGATATGGATATGGATATGGATATGGAGCCAAGGGGGTCCAAAACACCATATCAAACATTTTGGACCTAGGGTTATGAGCTCAAATCAGCAAACTGAGAAAGGTGTAGATGAATCATAGCTTTGACTGGGACTTTTCTTCCCATTAGACAAGAAAGGCACAAATCAGGACATCTGGATTGCCCTGTTGCTAAAGCAGCGTAACAGAGAAAGTACAAGATAGAAATTACATTTTGAACAGAACAATAAAAAGGAATTGGGTGAAATCCAGGAAGACATCAGTGTGGAAGCTTTGCCTGCTTCAGACATAGAAAAGGAGGAAAAGTTATTACAATGACTGTCAGAAATACTTTCCTTTGCTTACACATAGAAGTGTTGAAAACTTCATGGAAGTCTAAGCAAGATACAGCTGTTGTAATATTTGAAAGTAGGTGTCTCACTAAGGTTAAAGTTCATGTGTGAGCATAAGGCCAGGAAATTTGTTGAAATTTGTTTGTGTTCAGTTTTTTCATTAAATACTTGTTTGATAGGTCAAACTACCTTCGTTCTAAATTTCAGTAAAACAACATTTTTAATTAACATTTAGATGGTTTGGTCACTATATAATCAATATGAAAATTGGCAGTGTCCCCGCTGCTTCTCACAGGTTGGGCAATAGAAATGGCAGTTGTCCTATCGCTAAGGTTTTCTTGGTATAGATATGACACAAAAGGTTATGATATCAAAATAGTAAATATTGAATTATACTTAATCAAATCTGATCCCTTCTACAATTTTCATCAATAAATCTCAGTACACATTTAAAAGGAAAATCAATAATAGTACTTTATTCCTAAACTGGTAAAATAAATGCCTAAATGAGCATTTGACTGTATATTGTATTTCTTCATGCTAGGCCTGATTACAACTGAATAAAAAGTAGACTGAGGATTTTTCAGGCAGATCTTACCACCTCTGTTAGTTCAGTCAACACTCCCAGATGTCAAAGCACTATTCTGGCTCAGGTGTACTAATGAAATGCCACCTCTAGCCATCCAGCTCTTTATCACATTTCTCATGGTTCCCAATCTCTGGCTTGGAAAGTCATGGCTTCTTCTGTCGAAGTGAGCAGAGAACGAGCAGGGCTTGGTTAACCCAGCTGATGTTAGTTTAGCTGGCTTAGGCAGTGCTGAGCTGGTCAGATGTGTGGCAGCTCTGTGTAGAAAGGCAGTGGTGAACAGCTTGAGGGGCTGCAGCCTTTTCAGTGGGCCGGACTGGTGACCACAGGGAACATCTGGAAGATCTGGTCCTTGCTAATTTACAGGTCTCAGGGATTCATTCTGGGCTGTCTCCATTATTAGTCCAAGATAATGAGTTGCCACTGTATGAATAGGGCCATGTCTATAGCAAAGTTATAATTCAATGGCTTACATTTTAATGTGTCTTTATCTGCTCGGTAGTTGCTTATAAAATCGTATCAGCAACAAATTTTATGTATACAGAAGGAATTCTGTAGACTAAAAAATAATAGCCCTGCTGGACTGCTTTAGAAACGAATGTTTGGCTACTGAGCCATGGAAAAAATCTCTGGAACTGGTTACAGCTTCCCAGGAGAGTCAACAGAACTGAATTTTACCATCCTAATGTATTTTGTTTCTCACTCTTGCCAGTTGCAGCAATATCCAGCTTAGTGGAAGTAAGAAGAGTTCCCTCGGAGACAAGGGGAATCCTGTGGAGTTTCAGGGCATCCAAAGATGCAGACAGTAATGTGAAAGTGAGTGGTTTTCTAGGGGATCTGTCATGGGGAATGGGGCTCAAAAAGCTTAGTGTGGTCTTGGGGACCAACTGTTCCCCCAAGGGATATTATCCTGTGGGGGCAGCTGTGTTGTCTGTAGTAACTGAGGTTCAGCAGCAGCACGATGTAGGCTGTTATGACTTCTGCTGACTAGATGACCCATGTTCCCCCTTCCCTAGGGGTGCAGGATTTCTCACCTGGTGCACACACATGCACTGCCAAGGTAAAGATGCTCACTTGGTCCTTCAAACCGTAATACTACTTGGGCCCAGACATCTCCTATACTGAGGTGAGTTCCTCCTTAATTCAACATAATTAGTCATAAATAGTCAAAAAAAAAAAAAACATAAAAGTCAAACAAATAAATATTGATCAGACCAGCTGTGGCTAAGAGGGGTGCTGCTGCACATCCTGGTAAGCCAAGTAGTGAAGGAGAGGTCAAAACAGAAAGGGAGGGAAGAAGGGTGAAGGGTGACCGTGCTTTGCAGATCCTTCTAGGGTCTTGAGATAATATCTGGCTGTGTAGACCCAGTAGATGGGGAACCACTGGCCTCTGTGTCCAACACAGGACTGGAAGGAAGTTTTTAATACCATTCCCACCCTTGACAACAACTAACACCTGTCCGTGCCTGAAGTCACCTCTGGTTTATTCAGCCAATCAAATCTCAGCCCAAGCCATTTACAGAATCTGCTTGTTGGACTACACTCAGTGTTTCTGCACATCCTTGCTAAGGTAAGGAACACACCACAGGTGCCTGAACTAGGGCTGTGCTCAGCTGATGGCTGCACCTCTGCTGGAAGAGTTCAGGCTAAATCTAGATTACCAGGTCAGGCAGTGCAGGAGAAGCAGATCTCTAGAGCAAAAAGATGGCATGGAGCTCCCCAGGGCCAACTGCTGTGCATTTGGGACTAGCTCCACCATAGTCCCTGGCCTGGGCTGCCTGATAGCAGGCAGTAAAAGCACATCTCTCAGTTTCTTATAATTTCTGTGGGATCCTGAGTGCATCGAGGCTGCTCTGGGACATAAACCAAAGCACAGAAGGTGGAGCCAGTTGGGAGACTGGCTTTCAAAATGCACCCCTAACACAAATAAAACACAAATACAGATGCATCCTGAGTGAAATCTGCCTCAGGAATTCACTCTTCAGCGATGTCTGTCTGCCTGGCCTTTTGCACAGGGCAGGGCTCACTGCTGGGCTGTGATTCCACTGTTCTGACCCAAAGGCATTGCGTATGGGACTCGCTGCACCCATTTATACTATTGTTGGACTAGAGTTTGCTCACCTCCTGAGAGCTTGAAGTGCAGGATGAGCAAAAACAAAGATGTGCACACTCACCCTGCGCTCTGTGTTAAAAAAAGTCTTGACCAAGGGCTGTGCTACTGGTG